TTTTTTTTCTAAACTTGAATTCTATTTTGGTAAATTTTAGCACATAGACACACACACATAAAATATTATTAATGACGATCCATACAACAAATATTGGAACTCATCGTTATATATGATAAAGAATCAAACACGCAAGAAATATATTTTGTGTGTGTGCGAACATAGATTGATTTTTATGTCGTTTCAAATTTTTCTTGAATAAAAAAAAACGAAGAAATTAGATTTTTTTTCCTTGGCGTCTCTTTTCACTTGAACACCAAAGATAAATTTGGTTTTTCAATCCATTTTCCATTTTTTCCTCTCTCAAATATGCATATTATAAACATTATGCATAGGCTTCAACAACAAAACAACAAATGACAATATCAATCACAAATTACGGTTTTGGAGAGAAAAAGAGAGAAACGAAAAGCTAAAGAATTTTGTATACTATGTATTGTTGATCGAAGAAAAAACATCGAAGGAAAATTGATTTTTATTCTTGACGACAAACGACAAACATTTATGCGATCGAGAAAAACCGTTAACACCCAGATCATCTTCTAAAGCACAATGACAAATGATATTGAAACTACCTATAAAGAAAATTAATGTTTGAAAAAAAGATAAATCTTCAATCGCTTATTATTGTTTGGAATCGGGCACGAAATTGAAATTTTTCTTTTTGTTGTTTTGAAATAAGAAACAACCACCGATTATCAAACGAATTGATTAATTCTATCCATAAAAAAATTTCATGAGAAAAAAACAATGAAAAAATACAGATTTCCATCTTATAATAATTTTAAAAAAAGTCAGAAAAAAAATATTCATTTTAAATCAATGATTTTTGATCATTTGTATTGCCTTTGTCTGTTTATATGGGGACCTAAATCCATTACCATGGTATTGTTGTTTACGGTGAAACAAGAGGAAAACGTTTTCAGTTTTCTTCTTTATTCTGGATGGTCCAAAGTATTAATTTTAGCCCATACGATTCAATACTAATCATAATAATAACAAGATCCACAAACAGCAATGATGATGACAACGAATGAACGAGAAATGGTTATGATGATGATGATGATGATGATTATGGTGATCATTAATACCAATATTTTATTCTGCCACCAGTTTTGTTTCCTAATTTTTTTTTTGCTTTTTTTGGGTTCCATCATCGTCATTGTCTATTTTTTCCATTCATTTTATACAGGCCCCTTTTTTGGCTGACTTACTTGCTAGGTTTGCTTGTCGATTATTACTATTGTGTTCTTTCATGCGAAAAATGACAATCTCTCTCTCTTTCTTTCGCTCTCTTAGTCTCTTTTATTCATTCATTCAAACACGCAAAAAATCCTAATACTATCGCCTAGAAACGATGATGATGATACCCAAAATTTTTGCTGCTTTCTTCCGCTTCCCCAGTTATTTTTTCCCCATTTATTTTTTGCATCATTCTTTATCATTCAAGCTGTATGATGATATTGGCTGCTGCTGTTGCTGCTAACTATTGATATTGATGATATTGCCATATCAGTCTGTAAGATGAGTTTAAACGATGGCAGCAACAAAAAAAAAATCCGCGTAGAATTATTATTATTATTATCATTATTGATATGAGAAATTAATTAAAACTATAGTAATAATGATAATGACAAATGATTGAAAATGATGAAACAAATGTATTATATAATGATAGATAACTAAAATATCTGATGACAAAAAAAAGTAACAAAAAAAAAATTTAAATAATGGAGAAAAAAAATCATTAATTTCGCAATTTTCGATAAATATTTTATGAATACAATGAAGCAATAGAAAAAAAGTATTATATAAAGAGTGGCCGATATGTCACCTAATATTTAGGTAAAACTTTTCAAAAAGCTTATTACTAACAGTGTATTATTTCTTCAAAGAAAAATCAAGATTTAATTTAGTTTAGAGAATCAAAGATTTGAAATGATTTTCATAATAACGATGAAAGATTTTAACCAAGAAAAAAACCATACAACCTGGTCACATTAGAATTGGAATTATTTTTGTGGTTTTTTTTGTGTTTGATGCACAAACAATTTTTTACTAATTTCCGTTAGATTTAGTTTAATCGTACATTGAATCGAAATACAGAAAGGTTTCAAGTAAAATGTTATCATTAAATCAATATTGATAAAGAATTAAAATTTAATACCAAGTAAAGTAGAATTCCGAATAGGACAGCGTTTCTTTCATTCTTGTTCCGTTTGGTTGAATTTTTATGGTTTTTTTTCAGTTGGTTTTGAAAGAACAAAATATGGCTATGTCAATCTGTATTCGGTCCAATTCGTATGTCAACCAGGAAGATTCGAATTCTTTTTTGTTTTTGGGCGCTGGTCGAACTAACATTTTTATTTTCCTCGTGTGTGTGTGTGGTGAGTGATAGAGCAAAAATACAAAATATAAACGGAAATCACTGCTTAGTGGATATCAGAATAGAACATAAAAAAATTCTGAGTGGAAAAAAACTTAATAATAATGGAAAACCAAAATCTTGAAGCCGGATTCTTGCTATTATCATTATTATGGTTTGCTGTTGCCATTGTTTTTTCATATACAATTTAATAATGTTGTTGTTGTCCAAAATTCAAACACAACAACAATGGCCACATTATATTTTCTATTTATAAATGAAAAACGACTCGATAACAAAGCCAGTAGGGCATGAAATGATCAAATCAAATTAAATTCAAATTTTATCCATAGATTGAATTGAATTTAGTCTATGATATAAGATTGTTTTTTTTTCACAAAAATACTCACATTTTTTCAAGCTAGTCCAATATACAATTATATTCTATTCTTTTTTCCTTGGTGGGCAATTTCTTTAGTTTAGAAAAAAAAATCTAAACATGGGACAAGAATCATGAATGGTTTAGAAATGAATAAATGAATGAATAAAAGGAATTATTGATCGTCTGCTGTTTGCATGCATGTATTTGTGTTTTGGTTCGATCGTTCCATCATTTTTTTTATTTTATTCTTTTTTAAAAATAAAAATAAAATAGAAAGTCATAGTAAACTTATTGCTAAACTTATATATACAAACTATTATGACCAAATCGCCATCGAGTTCAATAGCGAATAGCAATAATAATCATATGAATTCTTTATATGATATGAGAAACGATCAGCCCAAATATGAAAAACAAAACAGTGAAAAAAAAAGAAAAAGAATTAAGAAAAGCTCATTGAAGCAAATAAGATTGATTGAATATAAAGAAAGGAAAAAAATCGATTAGAATGGAGAAAAAATGCTCGATTTTGAAATCGAAGAAGACGACTATAACCACACAGCCAAGCTTTTGGGCCAATCGATTGGTTTTTTTCTAGAATCCAAGCACACCATATATACCAATATTTACCAGAAAAAATCCAATATACAAGTGTTCCAAAAAGGACGAGCATCAACATCTATAGCATCATGGCTACGAAAACCAAAACATAAACGGACCAAAAAAAAACGGGAGAAGCATCGAAATAATTACAAAGTATAATATACGCAATCATTGTATGTTTGTGTGTGTGAAGAGAACCCAATTGAAAAAAAAAGAAATGAAAAAATCGATGGAAACACAGAACCGACGAAATGAAAATAATGAAATTTTTTTTTTGGTAAATTGCTATTCGCTTCATCCATCCACATCCGTATATGATATGATTTATGATTAATCTTTTTCTTTTTGAATATAAAATATAAAAAATCTGCCAGCCCTTTTATTATTTTCATAGGTTCTTTGGACCATAATGTCCAAAAAATTCATTCATTCATTCACTCATTCTTTCAAATGAATAATCGAAAAAAACAGCAACTAAACACTACCACCACACAGGCGCCATCAAGAGGAACAATTGAAAAAAATATGAATTGAAATGAAACAAAATGGCAGCCATAAATCGATATTTTTTTGTTCATTTCGAAACAACGACAACGTTCGTGTTTGGTGATGTTTAATTATTTCCATTAGAATTTATATCATAGCATGATTGTAAGGAACAAAAGCCAGAAAAAAAACTTGAAGATTAAAGATTGATTCGCTACCAAACAACAATGATAATTATATGGAACCCAAAAAAAATGGTGAATGGGACAAAGAAATTCTTGACGAAACTGGAACTTGTTTATTTCGAAACAAACAAAATGACTTTCTATTTCGAAAAGTGGTAAATAGAAACATGATAGAATTGAAAGAGATTCGATTGTATTTTTTTTGTTGCTTTTGTTTTCGTTATTCTTTTGTCGTATAAAATTTTGTTTCGAATTAGTACGGCGATGAATTTCTTGCCAATGATGATCATCAGTGTTTATATTTAGGAACCTTTGTTTGTTGTACAAGCCATGAAATCTGTCACATAATTTCTGTTTTTTTCATTCTTTACTTTTTGTGACTTTATTCTTTCATTTGTGTGTTTCTCTCTTTAAATGTTTTGCCGTTTTCATTATCCTTATTATTACAATCATACAATTCTTTTTTCGTCCATTCTTTTTCACATTTTTTCTATTCTAGTGTTTGATTGTCAGATTTTACTCATCAATCTATCGAACATTTATTTCACAAAACAAAAAAGAAAATGAAACAAATAGAAATTCGCATCAAGTGAAATCAAACGACACACAAACTATCCTGTATCGTTTCATCATGTTTATATTGTCTTTTGCCGTTGTCAAAGTTAACTTTAAATCAAATAAAAGGCACACATACACAAACATATAGTGAGAATATACTGAAGAGAATTCAAATAAAATGGTCCAATTCGTTGATTTCAATAATTTCCATTTTCATTTTCGTTGCTATACTTGCTTCATTCGAAAATAACATATAGTTGTTACTTTTCCGAACAAAAAAAATTGCTTTTTCCAATAAAGAATGAAAAAAAAATCAAATCGAAATATCTCATGCAAATAACCAAAAGGCAAATGAATTATTATGAAAAAAAATATTACTTATTAATTTTTAATCAAGTATGATTATTTAAGTATTACAATCTTATTTTAAAAATTCATAATCAAAATCATCAGATTGATGAAATGCGCGTGCAGCAAACATATAAAAAATGGGCGTTGAATACGTTTGCAATAGACGTATGATCCATTGATAATGTGCCATTATATACCATGGATTACGGGTAAAATGCTGCATTAGAATCATTGTAAAAGCAATAATGAATGATGATCGTAATAATGCTGAGCGGCTTGGCTTCAAAATCCGTCCGATGGTGAAAATCTAACAAAAAAGAAAGAAAGAAAAATAATACAAAAATATTATTCCATTTATATAGCGATACATACCAAATTTGTGTCGGATCGATGAAAATTTTCATCAAAATCTGCATCATCATCATTGGTGGGCATAAATATAGTTTGACATAATTCTCCTTCAAAAAATGAAGTTAGACATTTAATACGAAGAATAAAAGCAATCCAAAACAATGGTTTCATTTGAAATGCGATCGAAACGAATCCTTTTTTACAATCAGCTGTAGTAATGATTTAGAAACAGGGAAAAACCAGATTAATTTAAAATGTTCAAATAAATGAATTGAAAAAAAACAAATCGAAATTTCCTTACCAAAAATTGATTCAATTGTTGATATAAATGTAGATAGCCCATTGTGTGTATCGGTCGATGGAACGATTTCACTATCAACCAATTTCGGCCAGATTTGAGAATGAGTAGATTCGTTCTGATGGAATCCAGATCTATCAAAATCATTCGATAATAATATGAATTATATGGATGAATGGATATGAGAGAGAAAAAATAAAATAAAAATGGAAATTAGAAATAATTGAAACAATTAAATTCCTGATTATTCAAATGAATAAATGAAAAACACTACTACAATGTTGAATTGTGCATCAATTAATAATTGAATCTTTATAATTATTATTATGGAATAACAATTATTTTCATCATATAATCGTCTTATATGTTGTATCAAACTTGAATTCAAATCATAATTTGAATTGTCAATTTGATTTATTTGACAAACTAAAAGCAAAAACATACTAAAGCAAACTATAGAATGGGAAATTAAATTTTAAAACAATAATGATAATCATTTTTTTCTTGAAACTAATATTTCAGTTCGAATGAAAACACAAGAATACTGATGGTGGTAAATTTTAAGCTCTAGAAAAAAATCATTGAATTGAAATGGACACACTGGAATGAAAAAAAACAAACAGAAAAAAGAATGCAATTAAACATTTCGCATTATATAACAACATTGAAGAATGGGGGAAAAATTCAGGAACGTCAACAAGAAAAAAAATTTTGGTCTATAATACAATTGACAAAGACAAATGTTTTGGAAACAACGTAATTTTTTTGAAGAAAAATAAATGAAACACATAACTTCAGTGAAAAATGCATCCATACAGCACACCCACATGTGAAGACAAACCGAATGTTAACAATGTTTGAACACCCAACAGAATAGGCAAATCACGAGAGATTCATTCAATCATTTTTGAACATTTTTTCTTGAGGAAGAAAAATTCGTTACGGTAACTGAAATAACTAGATTTTTTTCATTTTATTTTAAAAGATGAAATATTTTTTTATAAAATAATGCGAGTATTGTATTTGAGTTATAATATTGAATGAGAAAAATGACAACAACTGATTGAATGAGAGATTAACGATGAAAAATCAAAACGAATTTATTGTTTTTTTTTCTATCCATAGATTTTCTTATTGCCAATCACACATGGTAGAAAAGATTCACAAGAAAATGCGTTCCATTAAAAACAAATAGTATTTTTGTCGAAAAAAAAAGAAATAGGGAAAATTGGGTGATATAAAAATCAGCTAGTCAAACACATTGCCTTTATAAATATCCTAAGAATGTCAATCGATTCGAATAAATGGTCAATTTTTTTCAAGTAGCAAGAATTCCATCACTACAGATGTGCTTATCTGATTTTACTATTGCTTACTTGTTCTTGTCTTTTTACAGTCAAATACAAATAAACCAAGAAAATCTTTACTATAGCTTTTTTTCATCATAAAAAAAACGAAATTTATCCTTTTGAGAAAAGACGTTATAATAATAATAAACATTTAAGGAATAATTTTGCTATAGAATCAATTTAGGTGAATCGATTGAGAGAAAAAAAAATCTACTATTTTCTCATATAATCATGACCATGAACTGAAAAAAAACCATAAACTGATTATAAATTTTAAAATAGCGATTCAACACAGGTTAAGTGAAAACAATAACGAGAAAAAAGATACAATGAATGCAAAACTATGATAAACTTTTTTTTTGGTTCAACACAGGAAAACTGGTGCAACGAAAAAAACTAATATAAATTTTTTTTCTTTGTTTTAAATAACTTATAAAGCCTGATCAACTGAAAAGAACAAAAAAAACTGAGCATTTTAAATTAATATACAATGGAATAATGTGCTAGACGATAATAATCGATGAATGGTCCCAAAAGCCCACAGATTGTGGCGTTATAGTATAGCGATATGCCATTTGCATCATTTTATTGGTTGATGTTCGTTTTCAAAAAATGAATGAAAAGAACCAAAAACAAAAAAAACTAAAACTAAGATAATGAGATTTGATACAAGAATATTGAACAAAAGCATTATACTTGAAAGAAAATAGAGAATTCTTTTTTTTTGCAAATTGAAAATCAATTTGTACAAAGTTTGTTGTTAGGAATCGATTATAACTATGTGGAAAAAATAATTCTATACCTTAGGCTTGATTTTAGTTTTTTTCAATTTTTTTTGTAACATTTTTTATTCTAATAAACATCAAGTTCAATTGTGGTTACGACAAACTAGAATTCGATTAAAATCAATCAAACAAATTTGTTCACCAAATCAAAATTGGCAATCATTTTTTTTCTTCAAAATTCTATGGTTGAATTAGCATTGGTACTGAAAACAATCATTGCATCATCAGAATTATTGCAAAACAAATAACTAAAACAAAAAACAGGCAAATAACAGAATAAAATATAATAAGGTATAGATTGCCAATATAAAACAGATTAAAATCAAAATCTGTCGTTCACGTTTGAATCATTGTTATAATCTGAAAAAACAATAAAAAATAACAGAAAAAAAGAAACAATGTAGGCAAACACCTTATTGAATGAATATTATTGTGAGGAGCAACCAAGACACCAAAGAATAAAAAAGCACCCACACTTTTTTGATATAACGATTTCAAGTGTGTGTGTTTATTCGACAAAGAAAATCAGTATTGTATATTAAATGTGTAAAAGATATTAAATTGATATTGAATGTCAAGAGAGAGAGAGAGAGAGAGAAAGATAGAAATGGAAGATCTTTTTTTTCTCATACACATAAACACACCAACCTTCATCATCATTCTAACAACCATCATCAATTACGATTATACGTGTATATAATAGTGTCGTTGTTGTTAATGTGAAAAAAGGCCAGAAAAAAAGAAAGGAAAAAGTCAAGTCATTAATGGTTTATATGCACAATTTAAGGCATAGGCATTGATTTATTCTTTCTTTCTTTGCTATCATCATCATCATCAACATATATGATACGAAAAAAATTCGTTTTTCCTTTGCTGAACGAAAGAATTTCCTTCCGTTCAAAATTATCATGGTATCTAGTTTAAAACCAGAGAAAAAACTCCTGGAAAGAAAATAATTACACTTTTATCAACATGATGATGATGAAGAAGAAAATCATGGATTGTGGTGTGCGCACCTCAATTTCAATTTTTTTTATTGCCGTTTAAAATTGAAAAAATATCAAAAAACGGGCTAATAATTTTTGAACGACAAAAATGATGAAAAAACCAACCAAGTTACAAAATCATTGAGTTTTAACGGTGATATTACTTTTTTTTCACTTTCATCTAGAATTACTTGGAAAAACAACGAGCACACGGATTTTTTTTTTGATCCCCAAAAGATTTACATGACGTATCGTAAAAGTAAAAATAATAAAATTCTACAAACTTTGAATATATCCTATTTTTTTTATTATCCGAAGAAAAATTATTTTCCAAAAGTCTATTCTATACGCTTTCTGGATCATCATCGTCATCATCATCCTCACTATCATCAACATGATCGTCAAAAAAATAGAGAATACTGATTTCTAATCTTTTTTTCATTCAATGTCATCAAATAACGGGTAAATCTCAAAGCTATTTCAACATAGAATGAAGATGATATATACCTATAAGTGAAAAATCCAGTCTGACGTTTATTCGGGTAATATATTATTATATGAAGAGAGGGAGAGAGAATTAAAAAAAGAAAATTTGACATTTGATGATGAAAAATTTTTTTTTTGGTTAAAGCGAATAAGTATCAATTCCAGAAATTTCTCACTAAGAAAAAAATCCGGAAAAATAGAATCAGGAAAAAAATTTAAATTAGTTTCAAAATCATGGTAATTTTCTATTTTTTTTTCTTTGTTTTCTTATTTCGTCATTCTATTTCATTCTTCAATTTTATGTTATTTCACAAAAAAAAATAATGAAAAAAAAAATCCAAAATGAAAGATTTCTTCGACACAAAAAAAGCAATGAAAAAAATTCTTCAAACCCATAGCAGCAGAAAGAAAATTAAAGTAATTTTCATTTCGATGAAAAAAATTTGGTAATAGAGAATAAATGCTCCACTATCATCATCAAAGAAAAAAAATGTTATCAACCGGAACTATGAAAGTAAGCAAACTAAACCAACCAAACTAATCTATCCATCTTGACAACGATCATCAACAATGTTATAAATAATGAAAAAACGAGCCTCTCGTTAATGTGTTTGCATTATCAAGAAAAAAATCTATGTGTGAAATAATAATTGACATTTATATCATACAAAAAAGTCAAGAACAAGGTATTTCAATTAGCACCATAGAACCCGAAAAAAGCAATTGACCAAATTGATCTCTAAGCCTATGAAATAAACATAATGATCATTAAACATTGGCTAATTTCAAATTAACCTTTTTGTTTTTCAATTTTTGTCGTTGACCTTTTTTTTGTTTCATTTTTAGTGGTTAATGGCCATTCAATAATTATCAACAGATTCTTTAGATGAAAATTTGATTGATGTTTGTCATCATCAATTATCTATTAGTAGATGTATGTATACATAAACAAGTTATTATTGTTATTTGAAAGCAACATTGAAAAAATCAGCGGGTATTCCATTTATAGATGAGGAAAAAATGTGTGTAATATGGGCAAAGCAGCGGGAATCGGTTCTTCTTCTTTTTTTTTGACAAATTTACAAAATTTTCTTTGATAGAACAAACTATTGAATAGCTTCAAACGGTATTAATTTTTCTCGTTCATTTATAAAAGCTTGATGCTAATGATGTTAGTGATGATGATGATGATAATGATGATATGCATCGAAACATTCAAAACATCAATACTATTATATAATCGTAGCTACAGCTGAGTCAAATCGAAGAGAAAAAAATTGAATAGTTTATGGAATATTTGAATCATCGTTAATGTAAATCATCATCAATGCATTATATTAATAATAACAATAATAATAATACAGGCAAATAATGCGTTAAATTAAAACGATGACGATTTTCAACGATGGATGCAAAGAAAAAAAAGAGAGAAAAAAAACTCGAAATAAGAATAAAGCACGAAAAGTGTCTAAATGAATAAATTAATTAGATTATGTAACGGCATAACAACAAATGTGTATAGGAGAAT